TCCAATTAATTACCCAATTATTAGTAGTGTGGGGTTCCATTACAAATAAGAGTGTCGGGCAACCTATCCTACACAATTGGTTATTCTCTTCCACCTTTGCCTCTCTTCTCTCTCTCCCCCTCTCATTCTCTATTTCTTCTAACCCTAATATATTACTGGTTATTGTTTCAACTATTGGTAAGCTGATTTATCTCATAGTTATACGCCTTAAAACATATGTTAGTGGTGTGATTAGTCATTTCATACACGCTCCTTATAAGCCTCAGTGAGAGACTATCTGTCATATTCTTTTGGTATCTAAAAGGAACACTGGGTAACGAATTATTATATTGCCCTTCATCATCAGACTATTATTGGCTTTTTGATATAGACCGGGTTGGTAGTCATATTGTTAGAGGAAATCTACTTTAAGTTATTGTACCTTTGTTGGTGGTAATCTTATTATTTGACGCAACAAGAAACAAAACGTCGTTGCATATGTTCGAACACAACGAGTCATGGCTCATAATGAGTGTGAGATGTTGTGAGTTCCTTCCCCATTTCATGATAAGCATATCAGTGTGCCCTCCCCAATCAAGATGCAATGTGACAACTAGGCAGGCTCGATCTCTCTTCAATAACCTCTACTCCAAGTTGGGCATCTTTAATATTTATGCTCCAACTTGAATGAGAGTCTTAGAATTCTTATTTTATATTAATAGTAATGTAGAATAATATTGAAATTACCCACAATTTCACTTCAATATAAATAAGAGGGTGCGGGGAAGCACATTCTCTACGCAAATTATTCTCATCATCACTCTTTCTCCTCCTCTCTTTCTATCATCTTCTCTTCTCACTTTCTCCTAAAATAATATTGTTGTTTTTTTCTTCATTTTTTTTACGAACACATAAGGTGATACATGCATATTTTGAACATACTTTATGTTAAGAGTCATCACTCTTTCGCCTCCTCTCTTTCTATCATCTTCTCTTCTCTCTTTCTCCTAAAATAATATTTTTGTTTTTTTCTTCATTTTTTTTATGAACACATAAGGTGATACATGCATATTTTGAACATACTTTATGTTAAGAGTATTAGGGTAGTATATGTAAATTGTTAATAGTGTTAGTATTATGTGTAATTCTTATTATTGTGAGTTAACTATAAATATAAGTGATGTATGAGAGCTAGATTAAATTTTTAACCTCTCTATATTTCTCTCTAATATTGTGTTAATCCTTTAAATTTAACATGGTATCAGAGCAATTAAGATCCTAAATAAAGAAATAAAAATTTAGCATAAACGATTATAGTGGCCTCTGTGGACGTTGGTGTTGCTGTGTTGTCTGGTGTTATGGTGCGGTGGCCTTTGTGGCGTCGTCGACTGTGGTGGTATCGACTGTGGCGTTGTTGATCATGGTGGTGTTATCGTTGGGTGGCGATCGTGGTGGTGTCGTTCCCGTTTGTCTCTGTGGTGGTGGTGTTGCTGTCGTTTCCGCTTGTCTCTGTGGTGATACTGTTGTGGTGTTGTTCTTTGTGGTGGTGTGGCTGTTAGGCGCCACTATTGAGAAGACCAGGCCTTCTGAAACCCTAGCAACAAAGAAGACAAGGTCTACGGGTTTTAATTTATTTTTGATCCAGATCCAGCCTAATCAGTCTCTAGTCTAACCCAGACCAAACCTGATCCAATTTACAATTCAGCCTAGACCGGTTCAGCGGTTCAGCCTAGACCGGCTCAGCGGTCCAGCCTAGACCGATTCAACTAGTTTCCCATCAGTTCAGACTGGTTCAGTCAGCATCTACTCCGGTTCAGCAGTTCAGCAAGCCCATGCTGTCCGATTTAGTCCTCCTACAGCCTCAGAAAGTCTGATTCAGCGATTCAGCGATCCAGCAAGCCTGGTCTGCCCGGTTCAATGGTCCAATCAGCTCTTGTGGTCCGGTTCAGTCTTCTAACATTCTTTTCTGGTTCGGTTTAGTAATCCAGTGGACTTTTCTAGTCCGGTTCAGCGCTCCAGTGGAATTCTCTAGTCCGATTCAGCGCCCCAGCCAGGTTTTCCAGCCCGATTTGGTTATCCAGCTACCTTCTCTTCTTTGGTTCAACAGTGCAGTAGGTGTTTTTTGTCCAGTTCAGTGATCTAATGATTTTCTTTTTGTATTTGTTGTACTGTTATGGAACCCAAGCAAGGTGACAACTTCCTGATTCCACCTTTACCACCTACAATTTCTATTACACTGGGTAGAGAGGAGTATGCTCAGTTCCTATCCCAACGACAGGCTATTTCATCTCCCTCCACTGCTACTTTTGTCTAGTCAGGTATTGTTTCCACTTGTTTATTGTCCTCCAATCGCAGTCCTTAGATCATAGACTCTGGCGCTTCTGATCACATGACTGGTGCGTCTGATATTTTTTCTACTTATCAGTCTGCTACCTCCACACGTAGTGTTATTCTTGCTAATGGTACTTGTTCTAAAATTTCAAGTTTGGGGACTACTAACTTGAGTCCTAATATATCCCTATCTTCCGTATTAGTTGTTCCTCAGTTTCCTTTTAGTTTACTTTCCATTAGCAAGATTACATGTTTTCTCAATTGTTCTGTAACCTTTTATCCTTCTTATTGTGTCTTTCAGGATCTTAAAGACGAAGAGGAAGATTAATACGGGGCATGAAACTGGTGACCTATATTACTTTGATTTTGATTCACCTACTCGGGCTCTACAGACCTCATTGTCTCCTTTTCAACGGCATTGTCGTCTTGGACATCCCTCTCTCCAGAATCTAAAGCGTCAGGTTCCTAGTCATAGTTCTGTGTCGTCTTTGTCTTGTGAAGCTTGTCAACTTAGTAAGCATCACCATGTGTCATTTCAGTCTCGAGTCAATAATCGTGTGTCTAGTCCATTTGAGTTGGTATATTCTGATGTATGGGGCCCAATAAAGAATATTTCATCTAATAAATATCTTTATTTTGTGTTATTTGTAGATGACTATTCTCATGTAACTTGGTTGTTACTGATGAAAGCTCAGTCTGAATTATTCTCCATATTTGAGACATTCCGTAACGAAATAAAAATTCAGTATGGGTGTCGTATCCGTATTTTACGTTTTGATAATGCTCAGGAATATAAATTTGATCATTGTTCATCTTATCTTAGTAAAACTGACATTATTCATCAAACTTCTTGTGCTTACACCTCTCCACAAAATGGTGTTGCTAAATGCAAGAACCGACATTTGTTGAAAATCACTCGTGCCCTATTATTCCATATGAATATTCTCTGATATTTTTGGAGTGATGTTCTTCTTACTGCTTGTCATCTTATTAATCGTATGTTATCCTTTGTGTTAAATGGGCAAAGTCCATATTATGTCCTTATTTTTCCTGGTAAGCCCTTATTTTTCCTAATTCCTAAGATTTTTGGATGTGTGTTATGTTCATAATTGAGTCCTGGGTTTGACAAACTCGACCCTCGAGCTACCAAATGTGTATTTCTTGGTTACTCCCGCACGCAGAAGGGGTATCGTTGTTACAGTCCTTCTCTGCATCAATATTTTACTAGTGTCGATGTCACGTTTGAAGAATCTGTTCCATACTTTCAAGCACCTTCTCAGCCTTTGGATCTGGACTTTGGATCATCCCTTATACCACCATCTCTTTCTTCATCTTCAGACATTCCGCTGCTCACTATGTCACTATCTACTTTACCTCTCCGTGTCTACTCTTGCCGTCCTCGCCTATCGACTGAAGTGTCCGTACCGTCTTCCTTACCGCCTTCTGATCCTGGTACATCAGGTAATTTAGACTCTTTACCTATTGCTCTTCACAAAGGTACTCGTTCGTGTGTTACTAATCATCTCATTTCTCATTTTGTTTCATATGATGCCTTGTCTCTTATCTTCTCGTGTTTCACTTCTCAATTATCTGCTATATCTATTCCTAAGCATTTACAGGATGCCTTATCTGATTCGGGTTGGAGGAAAGCTATGGAGGAGGAGTTGGATAATTTACATCATAATGGGACTTAAGATCTCGTTCCTTTACCCCCTGGTAAACGAACTGTTGGTTGTCGTTGGGTGTATACTGTTAAATTTCATCCAGATGGTTCTGTAGAGCGTCTCAAAGTCCGACTTGTTACAAAGGGCTTTACTCAGACTTATAATGTTGATTATGAGAAAACTTTTTCTCCTATTGTCAAAATTCCTCTGTTCGTATCTTGATCTCTTTGGCTATTAATCTTAATTGGCTCTTGTTTCAGTTAGACATCAAGAATATCTTCCTACATGGTGATTTGGTTGAAGAGGTATACATGGAACAATCATCTGGGTTTACTGCTTAGAGGGAGTATGGTAAGAGTGTATGTCAGTTAAAGAAATCTTTGTATGGTTTGAAGCAGTCACCTAGGGCATAGTTCGATAAGTTTTCAGATGCATTTTTAGAGTTTGGTCTTCTTCGATGCCAGATAGATCATTCTGTGTTTCATAGACAGACAAATGCTGGATATGTCCTATTGGTGGTCTATGTAGATGATATTGTGATTACTGGGAATGATTCTGAGGGGATTGTCAAGTTAAAAATATTCTTACGAGATCGATTTCATACTAAGGATTTGGAAAAACTCAGGTATTTCTTGGGTATTGAGGTAGCTCGATCTAAACAGGGTATTTGTTTATCCCAGAAGAAATATGTACTTAACATGCTTGAGGAAGCAGGTTTGTTGGGTGGTAAACCGATTGATGTTCTTATGGATCCAAATCAAAAATTATTGATGGATGATGGTGCATTATTTGAGAATCCGGGTTGGTATCGCAGATTGGTTGGAAAGCTTAATTATCTTACTATTACTCAACCAGATATTTCTTATGCAGTCAGTATAGTAAGTCAGTTCATGGAGTATCCTATAGTACCACATTGGGAGGCAATTACTCGTATTCTGCGATATCTCAAACGAGCTCCTGGACTTGGACTGTTATATCGAGCTAATGGACATCTTTGAGTGGAAGGTTTCTCAGATGCTGATTGGACTAGCTCTCCTTCTGATCGGAGATTAACCACTGGTTATTGTACTTTCTTAGGAGGTAATGTTCTCTCATGGAAAAGTAAGAAACAACTCGTGGTAGCAAGATCCAGTACTGAGGCTGAGTATAGGGCAATGGCACATACGACGAGTAAGTTGACTTGGCTACTACGTTTCCTCCAAGAAATTGAGTTTCCATCTCAACTTCCTTTACAGTTGTTCTGCAACTAGTCAATCATGTAATTCACGAAAGAACCAAGCATATTGAGATTGATTGTCACTCTATTCGGGACAAGATAGTAGCTGGGGAGATTATGACTCCATTTGTGAAATCTAAAGATCAGTTTGCAAATATGTTTACCAAAGCATTGATTCGCACACGTCTTACAGCTATTTGTTTCAAACTTAGATTATATGATATATATAGTCCAACTTGAGGGGGAGTATTAAGAGTATTAGGGTAATATGTGTAAATTGTTAATAATGTTAGGGTATTATATATAATTCTTATTATTATGAGTTAACTATAAAAACAAGTGATGTATGAGAACTAAATTAAGTTTTTAACCTCTCTCTGTTTCTCTATAATATTGTGTTAATCCTCTAAACTTAACACTTTACATTGTTCTTACTTCTTAACTAATTCTATCAAATTTTGAACAACTTTATGCCAAAAAGTTAACAAAAACAAAAGAATAAAAATATCTTGGACATACATACCTGTAATTATTTAGTTCCTCAAATAGACGAATACATTGATCTTTGTTAAGATAGCCAAGATTCTGTTGATGCAACAAGAAAACAGCCATTGGCACATGCACAAAAAAATATTAGCAAACAAAACCATCACATTTGAATGTAAAATGAAGGCTAAATACTAAACCGAAATTGTTAAAATGCAACTACAAAATATCAAAATTAATGTTTATAGCATTTAGGGCATCTCCAACCCTTGCTCAAATTTAAATTTAAGTAAAAAAATCTAAAAACCTTACTCCAACCCTTGACTCAAATTTATACCAAATCAATGAAAATTCATTTTTTAACTCAAATTAAGGGAGACTCAAATCTTTATTGATGAGATTGCACCATCTTTTAAAAATCTAATGGTCATCCTTAATCCCTTTTAAATTTGAATTTACCCTCATTTAAATATGGGTCTCTTCTTTTTAAAATTTGAGTTTGTCTATTGGAGTCTTTTATATCAAATCAAGTTTTTTACTCAAATGTTAATTTAAATTTGAGTAAAAATTTGAGTCATGGTTAGAGATGTTCCCAGAATGCTTAAAGCCGGGTGCGTATTATTATTCTCTTATTAAAGAATTGATAATCATATGCTAACATAGAATACGAATCATGATGAGACCTCCAGTTCTCAAGTCTTGGCTTAGACCAACTTTAAGTTAAAATGTTGCTCCCTTTCATGTTTCATTAAGTGTTCAGGAGTTGAGGGTATTTTGTAAATTTTCAAACTTGATGGACATGAGCACTAGATAGGATCCCGTGGTCAATGGAATCAAGTTAACCTAGGTCTTCAACATTGCTCATACTCGAAGGTCAAAAACTCTGTATCTAGAGTTTTAGAAGAAATGAGAGAAAGCAGCCAATAACACAAGCTTTCTTTTTTTCTAAGCAATAAAAGAATTTTATATTTATAACAGCAAAAAAAGTATGTCAGGGATGAGAAGAAAAGACAGAAAAAAATATACAAAATAACATATTCCATACAGACTTTCGATTTGCCCAAATCATGAACAAAAAGAATTTCCACAAAATCAAGATACACAGAAATAGATGTCAAAAAACAAATAATTTCCCACAAACCAACCGTATCCTTCACCTTATCTTCAAATATTCTAGCAATCTTTTCTTGCCATAACATCCACAAGGTTGTCAACACCACTCATCTTCATAGAGAACGGGCCTTGCTCTTTTCGATACCCCTAAAAACACTTACAAACATCGCATCCCAAGAAAATAGTGATGCCCAAACAATATATACACACTATAGAAGACGAGCATAATTGTTTCTCCTTTTCTAAAACAAATCATTAGTCTTACGTCTCTTATGAGGTTATTGTCTAGTCTAAGGATAACTGTATCGAATTAGCAACTATGAGGTTGTAGGTTTGGATCTTAGTGACGCCACTTTATGTAAATGATGCAAAAGATTAGGTATGTACCCAATCCACCACTCCCACTCCCACTTCCAGCACCACAATTATCAGTGTGAGAGTGTATATAAGTTTTTATAATAGGAGTATATTTGTCTTTTGGATAGTCTAGGATTTTTCTAACTTTCTTGGGCTATATATATCCTTGTAATTTAGTTTATTGATGGCTAAGGAAGTATTATTTGCACCCAATAAAACTTTCATGGTATCAGAGCCTCCTCTCCTATCAAATCGTAATCCCTAAAATCACATCCACCATCGCACTCCTCTCACAAATACTGTTCAACAGCAATGTTCGTTGGGTCATGTTCATCAGCACTGTTTCTCGGTACTATTCATAGATATTGCTCACCATTACTGTTCGTTTGTTAATAGGCGATATTTTGCCAATAAATTATGTTCATTTCAAAAGATAAGATTCAAACAATTTTGTTTGAATGGAGAAAAATACTCATATTGGTCTAATGTGATGAAAAAAAATTTGCTCAGTCAAGGAAAATGGGGTTATGTTTCGGGTTCTAAAATAACACCCTTTGATTCTAAAGCAACGAATTCTCACAAAACTGTTGCTAAATGGTAGATGGAGAACACTCAAGTTCTTACTTGGCTACATAATTATGTGGAACTTAATATTGGTATGGATTGTTCGAAATTTGACACTACAGAGAAAGTATGAAATTATTCAGAAGGTATCTGGAATCTAATTTTGCAAAGCAATATCAATTAGAGATGGAAATTAGAGGTGCAACACAAAGAGATAAGTCTATTCAGGAATTTTACAATCAAATGACTACTTATTGGGATCAGTTGGCACTCATGGAACCATCAAACTTAAAAGCACTAGATAGATATATGCACTCAGGGAGAAACAAAGGCGGCTCCAATTTCTTATGGCTCTTAGAGACCAATTTGAGCCTCTTCGTGGTGCTATTTTCCATTGCACCCCACTGCCTATAATTAATGGAGTTATTTAGGAACTTCTTAACAAAGAGACTCGATTTAAGGTGGCTCATGTGATCACTTCTTCTCGATTAGTGTTTGCTACCCCCACTACACAGTCTCCATTGTTGCCTACTCCATCTACACAGCTCACACCAATGTTATCAGAACAGGACCGGACATCAAACCGACAAAGGGACTAACTCAATGGTTCACTGGTTCAACCGTTGGGTTGACTAGTCAGACCGATCGTATAATAAAAAAAATATAAAATATAATAATTTTACTATTAACTATTTAACTTATATTCAATTACTGATATTTAACTTATAAAAAATTATAAAATATAATGATTGTTGAATGTCTGTGTATTAGCTATTAACTACTTAACTTATATTCAATTATTCATATACACCATATGACTGTTCAAAAAAATTGGGTGCGTGTAGAAAGAGAGAGAGAGGTAGAAAGAGAGACCCAGCAAGCATGTGTGAGAGAGAGAAAAAAGACCCAGCAAGTGAGAGAGAAAAAGGACCCAACAAACCAACAATTTTTCCTTCATTTTTGTGGGTTGTCTGTGTGGAGAGAGAAAGAGAGGAGTAGAAGAAGAAATCTAACACAACTTAGGAGATCTAGATCTACGGTGTTCGCCACTGTTCGAAACGAAGAAGACGAAGTGTGGTTTTCGCCGCTGTTCGTCTTGAAGGAAGACAAAGAAGATGAAGGCTGCCGACTGGTTTCAAGATTTGAACCGGATGATTTTAGGAAATTTCGGTTCACGGGTTTTGGTCAAAACCAGCCGGTTTTTTGGTTATCCAATGGTTCAATTTCTTAGGCGGTCTAACTAAAGAACCGGACCATTTTAGGTCCCAGTTCATTGTTCGACTGATCTGATCGGTCAGTTCATTCCGGTTCTGATAACACTGGCTCACACGGGTTATTAAAAAACAAAATCACGTGTTGGGATTAATGAAAGCAACTTTTATCATCAGAAAGGGCACTGGAGCAGAAGAGTGTGGAGAGAGAGAGGAGCAGAAGAAGAAATCTAACACAACTTAGGAGATCTAGATCTATGGTGTTCCGATCTAGATCTATGGTGTTCGCCACTATTCAAAATGGAGAAGACGAAGTGTGGTTTTAGCCAGTTCGTCTTGAAGGAAGACGGAAAAGACGAAGGCTGCCGACTGGTTTCAAGATTTGAACCGGCTGATTTTAGGAAATTTCGGTTCACGGGTTTTGGTCAAAACCAGCCGATTTTCTAGTTATCCAACGGTTCAATTTCTTAGGTGGTCTAACTAAAGAACCGGAACATTTTAGGTCCCGGTTCACTGTTCAACTGGTCCGATCGATCGATTCAGTTTGGTTCTGATAAAACTGGCTCACACAGGTTATTAAAAAACCAAAATCACGTGTTAGGATTAATGAAAGCAACTTTTATCATCAGAAAGGGCACTGGAAAGCTTCTTGAAACTTTTATCATCAGAAAGGGCACTAGAAAGCTTCTTGTCCCAAACTTCAGAAAAAGTGTGCTTCTACTCATCGGTCTTTCTCTCAGGCTTCTGTTCACCCTCCTGCAACATTGGCAACTTCTACATCTACTCCCGACACTGTTGCTCCTAATATTTTTCAGTCGATGATTGAGCAACTGCAATCTATGCTTACTACTTCCACTACAGATTAGTCTCATGCATTTGCTATGTCCAACATTCATTCAGGTTTAATTGGTTCGCATATCTCAGGTATATCACCTTCTACTTAGATATCTGATTCAAGTTCTGCACATCATATGACTCTCAATCTTTCTTCTCTTAGTAATTGTGTCTCTCCCTCTTCTCCTATAAATATTTTTATAGCAAATGGTTCTCCAATACAAGTTGCTTTTGTTGGATCTATTATTCCCTTTTTACCCTCCTCTTTTTCTATCCCAAATATTTTTTATGTTTCACAATTGTCTGTAAGTCTATTGTCGATTAGTCAATTCTCTGAGTCAAGATTTGATTCTATGTTTTCTTCTTATGGTTGTGTTGTTCAAGATCAGAAGTCCAAGAAACAGATTGGGACTAGTCGTAGAGCTGGTGACTTATACATTCTTAGAACACTTATATATA